AGTATGTACATTTATGTAGATATATTTAATCAAATTATTTATTTTTAAAATTTGTTAATCGAATCAAAATAACTTATGAACCATTATACCAAACTAAAATACCCATTTATACGCAAAATTGCTTACAATTATGTAAATTTTCATATTTATAAACAATAAAATTTTATTTACCTTAACTTTATAAATTTAATTAAATTATCTTGAAGTGTTTTCGATATGTCAGGAAACAAGTTCACATCTCGTTCTTCTACTCTCAATACTTTACAAGTACACATAAAAATTTTAATAATTACGTATCACATTGATTTAATAAGGTTTTATAAATTGCGTGATAGTTTATTTTATAAAAATAATAAATGAGAGGTACGTATAATGAGTTGTAAACTACGCGTAGTAATTGTTATAGAGTAGGCAGAAAAATTAAAGTTCAGAGAAGGAATTGATAAGTTTAATGATATCTAATAATCTATCAAAGAATCTTCTTATCCTTATTTCTTGATACTAAAAACTGTAAAATTTTGTATCTATTCGCCTTACTATCACATTTCCATTCTTTTTCGCAAAACACTCTCTATTATGCTACAATTTTTTCGGGGTATTATTATTACCCAAGAAGTTCGCGAAATTTAATAATCCCTCTTAATTTGCCAACATGTACCTGTTGTCAAAACAAATATATCTCTCAGCCGATTGTTCTAAAAAGATTTTAATCGAATGAATTTAAAAGTTGAATCGAATAAACCTGACAATGCATGCAAAGGTATCACTCGCATTATGTTGGATGTAAAAATAAATATTCGCATATCGGCACTGATGCACAGATCCATGGCAAAAGTTATTTTTCGCTGATTCTTAAATTGTGGGGACGATAAAATTCTTTATATTTTTTCTACATAGATATTTTATACTTATATTTGATGCAATTATTGAAAAATTAAGAGAAAATCACGTTCAAATCAAATTGATGTATCTGATCTCTATACCTACCAAAACCTATAGTTCCAGTTCTCAATCAGATACGTTATCCAATAAGTAGAATAAGGTAGAAATAGAGAAGGTCTACGGGTAAAAAGGTCCACTACAGATGTCTCAAAAACGAGTAAAGTTAAACAAATTTTAACAACAATATTTGAAAGTACAAGGAAAAATGTATGCAGTTAGAACAGTTACATTTTGTAAGTTTTTGGGCTATAATTTTTATCCTCGTTCAGGATATATCCAATTATTAAAAGAAAACAAAGTTAGGTTAAAAAAATGTATTTTTTCTAATTTTTCTAATTGTTTCTAGTTATTTCGTTAATTCAAAATGAATCTGCAGGGCAGTTATCATACCTAAACTTTGTGTTATTTTTTCCCGAAATGTTTAGAATCATTTATTATTCGCACGTTTTGTTTAATTTGGATTAACTCCCTGTGTGGTCTTCGCATGGGACACTGATTTCATATGATCTGTTCACTCATCAACGTTGAATTGTGATGACAGTTGTAACACGATATTCGTCCAAGCGTTTCTTTCAACTGAGGACAAAACGGAAATTTCATATTTCGAGTATTGCTTATTGATCGATTGCCTAAATTATAATAAACGATTGAATAAATCCCATATAAATATTGATTACAAAGTGGTGAAACCAACGTGTACCAAAGAGCAACTGACTCGTATAATTGTGGATGATCATAAACGAGGATAAGATTGAAGTTTACGGTTATATAAAATAAATATAATTTCAAAATTCAAATTTTCTTGGAAATTTTATCGAAGTATTTTTGCTTCAACGTCAATCTAAAACTATCTAATTATAATTATGGTAATGTAATTGAATATGTTATTACCACGAGATTATATTATCGCCCTTATAATGACTTGTATAAACTTTTCCCGTTCACATATTCCGCCGATCAGATCTATTTTGAGTTCATTATTATGAAATCAATAAGATAAGCCGCCTTAATTCTATTTTAATCTTAATGCATCAGCCGATATTTTCGAAATTATTTTGGAATAAATCTAATAATATTAGATTTAGAAAAATATTTCCATGATATTTTGTATGAAGTCTTTTTTATGTTAATTCCTGTTTGACGCGTTAGGATTTGGAACGCGAGCACTCGCTTTTTAAATCTCATGATATTTATTAAGAGCAGTGATTTCCAACTAAATTAGAAACATGAATTATAAACATTTTAAGAAAATTACATAGAAAATAATTATTACAAATAAAAGCAAAAATTGTCAAAGTATTATAAAGCTTACTTAGACTTGCAATTAACGTAAGAAATGCTTTCTTTTTGAGAGGCAATTGCGAATGAGCAGCGTTTTTGGTATATTATACAAAAATCATAAAAAATTGAGGTGATAATATATGAATATCATATATTAATTGCTACGATATTTTATAGCTGAATAACTACATTTGAGTTCAGGTTTATAAATAAAACTGTCGATTTTTGGAACATATGATTTTAAAGTAAAATTAGTTATATATCTAATATTTATATAAATTAATTAATAGCACCATTGATAAATGTAGAATTTATTAATTTTGCTTGATAAAATTTGTGATGTGTAAGTTTCAATAAGAATAATTATTTTTTTATAAGATGTTAATTTCAAACATAGTTAACACACGTTTTTATGTACAATTTTGGACTAAGTTCAATGTTTAAAAACTACATATGTTTTTCGATGTTTGCATACATTAGTATCTCTATGATTAGTTAGTTGCATTCATATAATCAAAGATTTTATATTACATTTCAGTAAAAAAAATTTTTTTGGCCAAGTGTAAAATAAAATTCAACGTCGAGCTAAACAAGAAAAAATCTAAAAATATACAAATAAAATTAGTTTAAAAAAATTCTTTGATGATTCTTGTATCTTGTATCAACAATATATGTCCTAATAATATTTATACTTCTAAATGTTAACAAAAGCTTCTAAATTGTTGAACAAAATTACCCAACAAATTCGTGCATATTTGATTTAGAAGTCAATTATACTCAATTTAAGATTTATATGATTTGATATATTTTCTGTACCCTATTTTTTATGATTTGTCCACCACTGATATGAATAATCAATTGACAATTTCAAATGCTGGTGACATTTCAATGCATCAGTATATTTAATAATACGTCATATGGATTAGGACGTCTGGCTGATTTGACAGACCAAGATGAAATGCGTATAATAATCTTCTTGTTTGAGCTTTAAAGCGTCTATTCTATTTTAATATTCGAGACTGATCTTGTACTCGAATAAAAATCTCGTAGATTAAATTGGGATACATAGAGATATTCCATTTCATAAGAGTAGAAGTTGGTCTGACGAAAAAGTTGGTTATTACATTCTTCCTTATGGAGTCTATCTCTATTAAATTAACACTATTAGTAGATTTTATTTATTATTCATTTTGAACACATTTTTCAATTATCCCGTTCATAAAAATTGATGCTATATACTTCAAAAATAGGTTGTCAACTCGTGATCCCTAAATTGTGTCAAATAATGTAAATTAATCAATTATTTGTTTACATTACCCTCTGTTTTGAATATAAATATACATATTACAAACATGAAAATGTCAACAGATGATAGAAATAATAAATTATCACATTGTCCGAACTATACAGGGGCACAAAATGTTTTTTAATCATTATTTGTTATGTGGAACGTGCGCGCTCCAGGAGCAGATGTTGTCCATCACTAACGATGTAATTCCAAAATCGATATTAGTGATGTATCATAATGGAAACAAAATGATAAATTATAAATTGAAAAAAAATTGAGCAAAGATACTAAAGATTTTGCAATAACGCATGAACACATTCGTCCATGATTCAAAAATTTTTACATAAGAGATTTAAAGATTTTTACATAAAATTCATTGAGGTTTCATTTCATTTCATCATTTTTGATAGAAATATCTTTCTTAATTCGATATATTATAGTTTAAATAACAATTCGTAAAATATTAGTTTATATGTACCCCTCAAAAGTATCTTATTCGTGCATACAATCATCCCATTCTCACAATTCAATATTATGATAAATTTTATCACACTCGCTACGAAAATGCGTAGCATATGGAAAAGATTTATCTGTTTTAAAACGTCAGAAAACATATAAAGCAGAAAAACCATCTGTCATGGCAAGTAGGAAAGTCGGAACTTTTAACACCCTCAAAAAACTCAACAAAAAAATGCCAAAAAGCACGTAGGAAGGTCGTTGTGCGATATCCATAACTAGGGAAAGATAGATTTTTATTCGAAGAAAAAATGATTCAGACAAGGGAGGGTGATCGATGGAAACAAATTGTATTATCACAAATAAGATTAGGCATGTTTTTGAATTTGGTGAATGCTTGCTGATTTATTTAATCATTGCTCTACATACTTGATTTATTTCCACCTATTCCATATGGAACATCAGCAAATGTTTGGTAGTACTTAGAATGTCTAATTTGAACGCCAACCCAGTGATTGGGCGTCCGGGTGTAATGGATAGATTAAATATTTAGACAACTCCACTTATATTTCATCACTTTATAATAAATTATCTATTACATGTGACAAAAGATTTTTCAAATTCATCCCCTCGTGTTTCTTGAACAATGAAACGAAATTTTGATTTCTATCTTAAATGTTAATGATACAATACATCTGCTCCTCCTGGCAAATTAATAAAACGACTTGGCATTTGGCTAAAAAGGTCACATCGTTCAAGTGTAACACTAAAACGTCTGATATATAATCTAAACTTAATAAATGATTGATAAATTAATTATATCTTCTTGGAAGTGATAAAATGTAATGGAAAATTGGAATGCAGTATGGGAATTGCACCTTCAGAAACCTAATATTTAGTTCATGGATTACTGGTTTTAGGAACTAATTAACCAATTTTCTTATTGATGAGTAAGATTTTGATTTTTTAATTTTTAAAGTGATTATTATTATATATAAATTTAGAAATATAAATAAAGTGTTTAAAAACTTACCTCTAGCTTTCTGTTCGTCTAATAGTTGTCTCTCCAAAGAATCTTTGACTTCTCTTTCTCGAAGCACATCCATTTTCAATTCAGCTGAAATCAAAATAGTTAAATATAATAAAAATTCATAGAAAGCAATGAAACACTAATAAACAATTAAATAAATAATTTGATTAATTTAAAACAAATTCTAAGCCAAGTGTAGAGTTTTTGGAGATTTTTTCTTGGAGAACATGCATTTACTGAATTATTACTAAATTTATAAATATTTAAGATAAGATGTTAATTGCCGCATTTTTAGATATAATATATTCTATCTATGTCCATGTCTAAATTTTAGGATGTTGGTTAAGAAAAATATTATCAACTACCGGATAGATGCTGATTCCAAGAAACTCCTAAATGTTTTAAGGGCACATCCGCATCTTCTCGTTAGTCCCAGACAACAAAATCTAATTTTTCGCCTGGATAATTCTCAATGCGCGTATTCTTTTTATGAAATATATTCAATAATTAAATGTATATACTATTTTGCATTTTGCCGGAAGCGGAATTATTTTACAAACGCACAATATACCGAATATAAATACTTATATTCCGAAAGAACCGTCGAATTTTCTTTTGGCTCGGCGTTGGCAACGAGGGGGATCGTAATCTGATACGCAAATATTAATACACCTTGCTTCGATAGAAATAGACAGGGATTCGGGGGAAAAATAAATGATAATTTTAATCATCTAGTAAGTGAAATTAACGAAATTTGAATATGTTTTGAAGGCGAAATTGTAAGTACATCACAAAACGTAATAGATTTTTTTCGCTATGGAAAGAATAGCACTGTCAAACCTTATAATTATATATTAATTAATGAAAGTTTTCATTAGGACTGATTATAATTTGAAAAAATAAATTTATTTTATTCAAATTATAATCTGTAATTTTCTTAAGAAAATCTACATTAATTAGAATAATTGGACATTTTGAAGATTATTATTGAAGAAGTTACTCAGTTTTTTGACAAAGCCAGTAAATAATAGTAGGATATTTCCTGAAAATTATTCTGTGACCTGAAAATTGAGACAATATTTACAAAGAATACACACAGATATCTGAATGCTTTTGGAGGCTGAATCATAAATTTTTACTGTGTTCTTAGTGTTTTTATTTTTTTAAACATACAATAATTTTGCAATGGTATTATCGGTAAGAAAGTGCCTTACTGAATCTAATTATTATATTTTATAAAAAAATCATAATAAATGAAAACAATAAGACCGATCTAACTAGAAGGATTAGTATTATAATTTCCCAATAATTTTAATATCAACTTTTAATTTTAATTTAAGTTCTAGCCTTTCCAGCTCTCCTATTAAAATAAAACCACTCTCTCTCTCTCGCAGCCGGAGAGCATCATCGCCGAAAGGAAGGGGCGATAAGACAAAGAAATAATGGTAGTCGAAATATAAATTTCTATTTGCGTTTTTGTTTCTAATATCGAAGAATAATAAAAAGCGCCTTATATTCGTTTAGAACGCGCGTTGCTTTATTTGAACGCCGTTCATCGCATAGAATAAAGCGACGGGGATGTGTTTTCGCGAAATATTGCCGATAGGGAATGAAATTGGAGTTTGATGTTACTCATATTTATTTTAGCTCTGAGCCAAAGAGATAACGGCGAGAAATATTTTTGGGCTGCATGTTTTATCGGAAAATCTGGGAAATAAAAGCTTTCTTTATTATATCTTTTTTGTTTCATTCAATATTAATTTGAAGCTGAACGTAATCTTTTGTACCCGACTTACGATGAAATTACAGAGTGCGCCATTTATATGTGGTCAATGGATATGTTGAATAACTTGAACAATTTTCAATGAATTTTGATAAACTTTTTTTTATTAGCAAATAGCTAGTTTTGAAAAATAACGTCAATCAAATGACCTCCTTCATTGCGCAAACAAAACCTCGCTCTTTCCATTGATGGCGCACTCTGTAGAATTTAGGATTCCATATATGTATACATTTTCATTTATTAATTTTTATTATTTATAAACAATGCTTTATCCATATAATTTATTATATCAGATTCGACTCGTTGATTCGATAAACAATTTATAATGTAATCACTATAAACAATGATTTGATATTGATGCTGGGCTTGCAATAATAAATTATTCTCATTGATTATTGCAATTTCAATAAATCATGGCGCATTTGAAAATCATGTTAATCGAATAATTAAAATAGCCACAAACTCGACACAACAACAACATATGTAAATCTATCTGAACGCTTGTGTTAATTAACAATGCGCGGGTTGTAAATTTTCAATGGAATGATAGTGGAAATAGATGATAGGTTTGAGATACAAAAACGTATAAATTTAATGCAAAATTTAGGTGAGTTATAGTAATTTTTAGAAACGGAATCCAGTCCAAATTTTCACTGATAATAAATTTCTCGAGCTCTCTATATTTCATTTATAGTTTACCAATCATCGATAAAAAATAATAGTTTCTGCATTATATTGTAAAGTGTAAAATAAATTTTCTAATATCAACATATAGTAAATTTTCACCACCACCAGAGTCCATTATCAAATCCTCGGGGCAATTAAAATCCATTATCCCCTAACCCGACCGTGATCTTTGAATTAACTCGGGCCTGTCTTAACTAAAACACAATAACCAAGAACATTCAACACTATTTAACGCGCATTGTCATTCGTTCGCCCCACGATATTCGAACTGGCACTTCCTTAATCTCAGGTTTATTTGGTTAACGGATAGGATTAACGGACCCGTCACAGGATTCCCTTGGAGAGAACGGATCTTATTCTCTATGTAGTTGAACTCTAAATGTATCTACGTCTAAAACATTTAGGATTTAATTTAACTTTTGTTCGACGCTATCTGGGAGATTGGCTTGCTCGCCGGACTGCGTTATGGTTATTTTATGGAAACTGAGACGTTTATTAGGAAACGACTAAGGATGATGATAATTGTAAGCAATTTGGTAAAATTCAAGGAAAGAATGTATATTTGTAACTATTAGAATTTTCTCGAAATAGAAATTAAGTTTACAAACCCCTGTAGTAACAAATATAGCTATATATATTAGTGCAAACTATTTATAAAGTTTTTTATTTCATCCTTCTCTCTTTGATTTTGTAATTGATCAAGTCGTTAAAGCGCATAATTACATACACATTATCATAATTGCAAACTTAACACGCTTGTCTGGATTGCGAACATTAAATAAATAATTTAATGCCGTCCACAATCTTCTTCTTAGACTTAGACCATCATGTATGTATATGTATAAACAGGCACCTACATCTCGGATTTACATACGCGTTAATTCTATTATTATTAAGGTCTGCTGAAACAGTAATGAAAACATGATCCTATAGTAACTTGCCCGAAGGCCAATTTGTGATGCTTGCTTCTTACGTATAAGTAACTCTCCCTTGTTGCTGTGGGATGGAGTTGGATGGTGCATACATTCTGATGCAAATATAGTAAATGAGAAATAAACTTGATAACAAATTTTTTTTTTTATAATTACGGGTAATGAAGAATTTCTGCTTGGGAAATGATATTTTTATTTTTTTTTTTTTCATAGCAAGCTATACAAAGTACATTCAGCTACTTTTGTTACAGTTATATATTATTTGACTGCGTGAGAAGGATCGCTATCCTGCGATAGCGCTTTCATAGATGTTATGTTATATTTTGTAGTAAATCATTGCATATTCTTTTTTTAAGACGATTTGGCGGTAAAGGCTTGAGCAGATCTAACGCTAATACGTTTGGATGACGACTTAGACGAGCTTTGTATCTGGAGCAGTAAAGACTAATTTCTTCTTCTATAGTTCGAATTCTGAGATCTTGATGTATCAACCAATTGGGAACGTATTTTGGAGCGTTCACGATTTCTTTCAAAATTTTATTTTGGAACCTTTGTAGAATAGTTATGCTCGATTTACTGGCCGCACCCCATAGTTGCAGGCCGTAGGACCATATTGGTTTAATAATTGTCTTGTATATTAAGAGTTTATTTTCTATTGTGACTTTATTTTACTTTTTGTGAATATATCATTACAAAATACAAAACATAGATAGAATAAAGAATTGATTAAATTTTTGTGAAAGCAAGTCCGCTGGTTTCGCGAAAATATCGAAGAAATCAAATTTTTCAGAATTTTCAAAATATTAAAAGGTTTTCAAAATTTCAAATCACGAAAAGTTCCAAAAATTTGCTTTAAGGCACGATGGCATTCACCACTAAAGTAAATTTTATGTTTATTAATTTAAAGCTTTTGATAATTTAATATTTATTCTATTTTATCAAGTCAACTAGTAATTTTCTCTCCCGATTTCAAATTTATCGCCCATCAAAATTAATTCCTCCGTCCTCCTACACCTCTGAGTGTTCGTCAATAATTCAAAATCTTCCTTCACTATTGTAAAAGGTGCGCGTTGCCGGGCGCCAAGAGAGTTGATCCCGAGATTTCATCAAATCCGGATAACCAAGACTGACTCTGGGGCCAGACATTAAGGAATCAGAATTCAAACGAGGGGTAAGCGGTTCTCCCGCTAACTAAAACACACATAACAAGCGCACACGTCCCTACGACGCAAGTTAGCTAGAACAACGGACCGAAAACGGCCCGCGGTTATTTGGGTATCTAAGACGCGCGAGGGCGAGTGCGAGAGCGACTACTCGATGGGACGGTCGGTGGGGCTATATTTTACTTGCCCTTGTGGGGGGAGGGGAGTTTATAGTGTTATGCGGATTTGTACAGTTTAAATTATTATGTTATAAGATTGTACATTTGTTATGTTAAAATATTGTGAAATATGCCTAATTGATTCGTCTGATACTGAATTTGGTCACTTTTAAAATTAATTTATATAACATAGTAAAATTTGATAATTTTTACTGGAGCAGTCCATGGAGTAAAATATTACTTAGATGATGTAGGATCTTTATATTAACATTTTAATACAAAATTAATGCACCTATTATTTGTATCTATTAATCGAGTTCAATTAGATAAATAGTGCTAGCCAATGATGAATTTGGATATTTTT